CGTTGCCTTCGTTCCTCCAGGTCTGACCTCCCCCTTGTCCCCCGAGTCCTCCGCTCCACCTGTGGAGGTGGCTGTGCCTTCAGCCAATATATCCCGAGGCTCTGGAATTCTCTTCCTCACTCCCTTCGCCTCGTTCCTCTCTTCCTATTTTCAGGTCCCTGCTGAAGACCTTTCTCTTCGACCGCACCTTTGGTCACCTTCCTCCCCCTCCCCCTGGCTCAGCCCCAGGATCCGTTACTGTGAAGCGCTCTTGAGACGCCGTCCGGCATGGAGGGCGCTATATAAATCCAAGTTGTTGTTCTAAAACTCAGTGTTTGAACCCACTTGGGCGAGGTATCGGATGGTCTCCAGAGCCTGTGGAACTTTGCACCAGAGTATGAGTCGACACTTGAGCAGGGGATGGGAAAATGTTATTAAAAAGTCTGGAAAGGATGTCCAGTTTTGAAATTGAAAACATAATTTTCTTGAACCCGCATTGACCAGAACACAGAACATTATGTAACAATGGCAATAATTGAAGGCACGTATGACTTACTGGAAAAGATGACGAAACTTGAAGGAAGAAAGGAAGCAGCAAACTAGATTGTGATGATGACTTTAATTGATGATGTATCGTGGTAGCAGTAAACAATTGGAGTTGGGTGAACTGCAAGGAAGGTTGGAATGACTAGATGATGACCAGTTTGGCAAAGTGTAGGTTGTGAAAGACATGGCTGATGATACACACTAATTGCTGTGTTAAGTTCCACACCCAAATCGTGGCCTTTATTTTAAAAGAAGATATGACTCCGAATCTAGAAATGAAAACTTCTGAAACTCACACCTCCCATGTACACAAAAGGCTGGTCATGCGCTCCAACAGATGTGTCTCGTGGAGTTAGAGAAGACTATCAGCATTCCAGATGTTTTATTTGAAAGCAGCCAAGTGACACGGGGATAGCAATTAATGAATGAGATTTCCATATGTTTTACAGATTAAAAAGATCAAAAATAAAAGAGCCTCTGTGCAGAAAATTTAAATACTGCAGTTGAGTGCCACTGATCATTGTGAATGATATGGTATCTCATTTTTGTACTACTGTACTCCGAAAAGCAATGGATAACTTGAGCTTCCTCATTTGAGGTCAGATTGGGGTCAGTGATATCCAAAAGCTGTCAAAATTGTGGAAAAAAAATGCTGGAGAGCAAAAAGTCCATAGAGAGATAGTGAAGGACCCTTGGCTAATAATACTAATTAAAATTAGAGTAATATAATATTTTTGTTGATAATAATAATAATAATCCTTGCATTTGATATAGCGCTTTTCACGTCTTCTAGACGTCTCAAAGTGCTTCACAGAATATACTGTAAAGTGAATTGACTGTATATTTGTGGGCGAAACGCTAATAAGACTATTAATAAGACTTAATAACTATTAATAAGACTATTTAGAAATTACTTGACAAAATACCCACTGAACAAAATATCAGCGTCCTCCAAAAAAATAGCTATTTTAAGAAGTGCAAACATACTAAAAGAAAGTAACATTCATTCATAAGTAACATTATTGATCTGGCTGAACCATCACTGAAAACCACTTAGAAATTACCTCAATGGAGTGAATTAAATTAGTAACATAATAATTAATAATCCTTGCATTTGATATAGTGCCATTCACATCAGGAGGGCATTTCAAAGTGCTTTATAGGTTATACGGTAAAGTGGTTGTGTATTTTGTAGGTGGATACAGTAGCCAATTTGCACACAAAATTGTTCCATAAACAGTCATAAAGTAACCAGTTTTATTTGGGGAATTTTGAACTTCTACATTTCCCTCCACTTTCGGCAGCCATGCTTTCAGCCACTTCACCCTGGAACTCTGAAATTCTCTGTCTCGATCCCTCTGCTTTTTCCCCCTCTTTCCCTAATAGAGGGATGAAGGGATATGGGCATAGGGTGGGTAATGGAATTAGGTCAGAAGATCAGCCATGATCTTATTAATGGGCGGGGCAGGCTCGAGGGGCCAAATGGCCTACTCCAGCTCCTACGTCTTATGGTCTTCCCTATATTCAGATTGCACCTGAAGACCTCCCTATTTGACCATGCCTATGGTCACCTCCTGCTCGCTCCCTGGCTCAGCATCAAGCTTTTCCATTGTTAAGTGCTCTGAGGATGCTATATAAATGCAAGTTGTTGTTGAAAGCAAAGCAAAAAGTGATTAGAAACGTGCAGACTGCATCTGCAAGAGTAAAAAAAATTAAAAATTAAAATTTCTCTTTGACCGTGCCTTCAGCTCCCCTCTCGACTCTCTATCCCCTCCTCGCTCCCTCCCTTCCCTCCCCTCACCCTGACCATTTCCCCCCTCCTCAGGTCCTGACCCAACTGTACAGCACCTTGGGACGTCCTCCCGACGTGAAAGGCGCTCAATAAATGGAATCTTGTTGTTGTTAATGCTTTAGTCTGACACTTCATCAGAACTAGAATGAGGGCTAGAGACACCTCTTTCTTAAAAAAAATTGAAGTAAGAAGGACAGACCAAGAAAGTAAATGCATTAGATACAATTTACAAATGTTTAAAAAAAAGTTTGGATGTGTTCATCTAATTTGTCTGTGGTACCTGAAGAGTAGTTAATGGATAATTAACTAAGTAATCAGTTCTGAAGAAGTCACGCCTGAAATGCAGTCTTTTTTCAGATATGGATCAACCTGCTGGGTTTATAACCTTCACAAGGTTTTTTTATTACCTCTACTACTGTACTAAGCTGGAACAAACTCAATGTTTGGTCAATAGGGAACAAGCTTCACTTTCTTAGGACTTTCTGGTCATGCTCCCTGGTGCTTAAAGCAGAAAACATTATCAAAAAATCCAAATTGATTTGAACTGAATGTACTGTAGTTGGAATCTATCCTTAAGAAAAAATTCAAATGTATTTATTGGAGAAAATGGTAGGTCAGTAATTAACCATTCACGAAAATTACCCTAAAGTTACAGTACCTTAGAATTATAATTTTTTTTAACCATTAGGTGTTACTTTCGCAATTGCAAGATTGGTTGAGCTATATTGGGTTTCATTGCCTCATCCACACGTGTGTGAATTGAGACAAATGCATTGTTTATGTTTCGACATGGGGAAGATTTTACTGGATTTTCCCCCTTTTCTGTGTTGGGGTTCACATAAGTGAAGCAGATACTAACATGACAAAAATAATATAGTAATTTACAAAACATACAGTAACAGGACTGTTACAGTGTATGTATATGTGTGTTGTCATTGTTGGGCTCCTCATGTGCTTGTGATAGTATGTTCATTTGCGAGATGCAGTCTTTACGATATATGGAGGAAAGCTGTAGCATGTGGTATTATCATTGGTGATACTACTACTAATAATAATAATCCTTGCATTTGATATAGCGCTTTTCATGTCAGGAGGACGTCCCAAAGCGCTTCACAGAACACACTGTAAAGTGAATTGACTGTATATTTGTGGGCGAATGCGGCAGCCAATTGCACACAGCAATGTCCGACAAACAGTCGTAGATTGAAAATGACCAATTTATTATTGTTTTTGGTTTTGGCGGGATTATTATTAGGTGTGTGGAGTAAGGAAACTTGCCCAAGGTTTCGCCCTGCCTGGAATTGAACTCGGGTCTCTTGCTTGCAAAGCGAGTGCCCTAACCACTGAGCTACAGGACTCCACGACTACTGAATGCTGTTAATGTATTTTGCGTTGACCAAAAATGCATTAACACATTCAATAGTTGTCACTGGTCTTGTTCTCCCCTCCTCTCCCAGTCTAGCGATCAGTTCACCATTAACTGTTTTTGACTGAATTTTTGGTTTACATAACAATTATCACTGTGATAATGTCCCATACTGCAATTTTCACCATGGAAATCAGGAAGAGGTGGAATTTCAGCAGATTTGGGAGAATGGGGGAAGGAATCTCTCTAATCAGGGCCTGCCTTCATGGACAGTGTTTTGGGAAGCTTGTGTTTGGAATCATGGAGTCCAATTTGCGGTATTTCTTAATTGAATTTCTTGATAAGAAATCTGAGTTGCGCAAATAGGAACACATGTGAGAACAACCTGTCGGAGCTGACCTGGTGGAAAATACTTATGAAGTGAGATTAATCAAAAAAAAAAGGCAATTCCTCCCAATATCCTGAACAACAATCCCCAGGATGGTAAAATTGCTCATTCACTTTAAGGCTGTTTGTGGGACATTGCTGTGTGCAAATTGGCTGTTGCTTTTGCCTACAAAAGGCTCCGGCCTGCTTCATGTCCCCCGCCTTGCCCGCCCCACTATTGGCAGGCAGGCCTTCCGCCATTCTGCCCGCTCTTTCTGGAACTCCATCCCGCAGTCCCCCTGTCTCGCCCCCTCCCTTGCCACCTTCAAGATCCATCTCAAGACCCTCCTCTTCGACTGTGCTTTCGATCTCCCTGCTTCCCCCCTGCCCTCCACACTCCCCCACCCCGACCCCCAGCTCAGGTCCACAACTCTTATCTGTCCAGCGCCTTGGGACATCCTCCCAACGTGAAAGCCGCTTTACAAATGTAATTTTATTGTTGTTGTACAAATTCAGTCACTTCACAGTAAATCAGTGAAGTCCTTTGAGTAATTCTGAAGATTATTAATAATAACAGAACTTTTACAGCCAATGGATAGAGGATACTTTCATCCCAAATAAAGTCTCCATATTCGGTTCCAATATTGAGCATTGCTTAATGGAATGTCCAGGTATGGAAAATATTAGAATTCTCGTCAAGCCATGAAAACTCGGCTCCAAATGTAAATCAAGACGAAGCTGACACCCACAGATCAGCATTGGATGTTTTAGTTAAGGAGTTCCAATTTGCATGACTCTTGATTCCTTAATAAGGAATTCAGTTAAGAAATAGTGCAAATTAGACAGTTTTTTATGTGTGTGTGTTTATATATATACATAGATGTATATAAACAGGGATGCAATTAGTTACAAATTGTATCTTCTCAAAATTTGTTTCTCTTCTTTCGGTAGATAGAAAATATAGCTCCTGCAGAAGTAACGGCTACCTCAAAATGCTCATGCTTGATCATAGCCCCACTAAGCAAGACCCGATGGAATCTAGTTCAATGGTGAGTATGTGAACTGCATTCATTAAATGGAGTGAGGAAGCTATATCACTTCAGATCAAATCCACTCTTTTTCCTTGAATCATTGCTACAATGTTGGTTCCATTAACAATTTGTAAGGCAATGGTGATGCCAATGGTGACCACATAATTTACCTTGTGATACACTTGTAAGACAATGATGCTGACCTACAGGAGAACTGAACGGTCTTTCGAAACAAAGTGACATAATAGTCTGGCTGTGTAATCAACATTTTAACAGGGTTCTTCCTTTTTATCAATGAAATCTGAAAGGCAGTTTAAATATGAAGTGCACATTGTACACATTGTGGAGTCAGTATTACTCTTCATTTGTCAACTCTACCGGGCTGAAGCATTGGTGATAATTTTTCTTTCAGTTTCTTACCGCTGCACCAAATGAAATAAAAGCATCATTCTTTGAGGAACCTCAACAATTTCCCCCGTGCCATAAGCTGTTTATTTCAGACGGTGACAAATTTTTCTCCTATTCCGTAGGTATCTTCATTCACTTACTTAAATAGAAGCAAATCAATAGAATATATTGTGTATTGCTAATTTCTTTTCCCCTTTCCCCAGAAATTAATTTTCAGTGTATGAAATAGGAAATATTACAAATCTATTGTAAATGATACCAATCTCTCCATTCAATGTGTAGCGATTATTACCTCCATCTCCAATAAATGTTATTAGGATGCTTAATAGATAAAAGTTTGATGACAAACTATTGAGTGGAAAAGAATCACTGGGTATTGATGGTAAATAAATTAAATTTGGGACTTGAGTAACTTCATGGCAATCACAGTTACATTGGGTTATAACAGAACTGCTGAAATCCCTGGGTTGTAAAATATACACTGGTTTTTGGTTGTAATTTCATTTTTATTAATTTTATTTGCACTACAGTCCACATTGTTGTTATTAGCCTTAAATTATAAAAAAACTCACAACAACAACAAAATTACATTTGTAAAGCGCCTTTCACATTGGGAGGACGTCCCAAGGTGCTGAACAGTCAGGGATCAGGACCCAAGTGTGGGGTGGGGCAGTGTTGGGATGAGGGAGGGCAGAGGGGTTAGGAGGGTGGCTGAAGGCACGGTCAAAAAGGAGGGTCTTGCGTCGTGCCTTGAAGGAGGCAAGAGAGGCAGCAAGACGAAGGGGTTGTGGGATGGAGTTCCAAAAAGTAAAAGAGTAACAGTAAAATAAGAGCCACTACAACTTAGGGCCCACAGTTGTCCCATATATCTACAATTCCTATCAGTCAGCGCCCACAAGGTGTCCAATGTTCCTTTGATTCCTATTAATCCACAAGCATGCAGAGTGCAGCATGCCAGGTCAGATTGTATGGCCATAATAGAGTACCCTCTAGTGGCTGATCCTGCAATTAAATCAAGTCTAATTTATAATATTTTATAAAACAACATTTCACCTTTCTACCCGGTATAGAATTGGTGTTTAAAAATTGATTGCTGAGCAAAACTATGAGGCAACATAGAGCTCTTAATGAAGTGTTACTACTAATATCAGCAGAAGAGCAACAGCATTCTATTTTAAAGGGAAAATGTAGTCGAAAATGCTTGAAGGGTAGGAGGAGAGAAAGTTGGTGAAACATTGGCAGTGGAAAACAAGAATAATTTTGTGTCCTGAAGTGCTTGGGTACATGAGGAGAGAATAAACCAGGATTACAACAAATACCCCAGAAAAATAAGGGATTCAAAGTAGTAAATCTTGTAGGTTCAGACTAAGTAAGAGTTTAATTTCTATGGTTTAAAAGTTAGGAGTCTGTTTGACTACCTGTTTTGTCTGTCTGGACTGCTTGATTGTTAGTGATTCTCTATGTGGTGAATTTTGTTGTGTAGGGCTCGGAACCGATTATGTTTTCCCCAATGAGCAGATTATTGGTTCAGCAGAGAAAGGGGAAGCAAAACTGCAGAATGTGTGGATGATCACTTCAGACATAGAAATAACTTGCATTTTAATTAAGACAGAACATCTCAAAGTGCTTTATAGTAATTACTGTCAACTGTAAACGCAACAGCTATTTGGAAGATCCCACAAACGGTCATGACCAATTTAACCTGGAGATTTGTTGGCCAGGACACCAAGGAAAACTCCGCTTTTTTGAATAGTGCCAAGGGTTTAATATCTCATCAAAGAACAGTACCTCTGACAAAGCAGTGCTTCCCCATTACTGCAGTGGATTATCACCCTAGACTACGAGCTAAAACTTATAACGCCACTCTCCTACCCTCCATTCCCCCCGTGCTTACTGGAGACCTTGAATCGTGGGAAATGACGGCCTTACCTGTCGTCACATGCGCACTTAGCAATCGGCTGCATTGAAATGTGGGAAACGTAGTCTTCATCCGTTGACGCCCGTGCAGAAGAACTTTATTTTCTGCAAATTCCATGAATTTGTCAGTAAGTGCCCATGCAGTGATGTATCAGGACACCTTGAATCCCAGGAAATGTAGTCTTAACCCATCACTGAATGTGCACTTGCAGTCTACAATGACAAAGTAACGCATTCACATTTATCGGCTCAATTGAATTACGCATGTGCAGTGTAAATTATTGATTAAATTGGATTTTCTACGACTTCTACTTTGCCTGTAACTCGGCGCAAGTCATATTAAATGTTATGGTCCCAGCTGATACGACTTATGTGAGTTTTACTATACTCACTATTTGATAATAATAATTCTAGCATCTTGATATAGTGACTTATTACTTCTTCGAGACGTCTCAAAGTGCTTCGCAGAATATACTGCATAATGAATTGACTATATTTTGTGGGCGAAACTTGCTGAAGTGATGTCTTCAGTATTGCAGATTCTTTCCAGATGAGACTAAGGGACAGAAACTTCACAATATACAAACTTGTAGGAACAAGTAGAAACATGGAGGATGGGGGTGCCTTGAAAAATGTGATGCTACTCAACCGATACAATACAATCTGTTATGAACCATCACATGTTTCACCTCGGTGTCTCATTGGGCTGTTTCTGATCCTTCAGCCAAGACAGGCTTTGACTGACCTTTCCTTCGGCACCTGAATCATACATACTGCAGGCTAGTAGACTAATACCACTAAATAGTTACAACTAATTTTCTAGTAAAAGGAACATACTTTGAGAAGGGTCTGACAGCAAGTCCACCCTTTCTTGTGTGTCATTTCCCAAAGAAGTAATGATAGGAATTCACAGTAATTGTTAAATTATTTCTGGGTGGGTGGGTCGGGAGGGGGCGGGGGGCGGTGGTGGGGAACCGGTATTTGGGAGTTAGGAGAGGCGTTTTACCTCTGAAGATATGAGACCTGTCACTAGGGAAAGGCAAATCTTTGATCGTAGTTTCTCTATTTGAGAATGGGAACAGGGAACCCGGCTTCGCTTGCAATGGTTGGCTGTTGACATTCAGACCTTGAATACAATCTACAATCCAGGGTACTGGATTTTTCACTGTCACTCGAGGTGAATTTCCTGTTCATTTAGTACTTCAAATGAAAGGTCAATGCACATGAATAAAATTTAATTTAATTAATTTAATTGAAATTTAATTAAATCCTATATTAAATTTAAATTCCCAAGAAGTGTGGGACCCCTCACCATAATTGTCTGGCTGATTTGTGTTTATTTCGGGCCATCATAATATGAAGTAAAAAAATTTCCAGCATCTGCAGAATTTTGTGTTTTGATAATAAGAAGTAAACCAGTGAGTGTCAAGAGCTTTTCATGTTCAGCAAGGTTCAAGATGAACCCCAGCTATTTTTTTTGACTGCAGGAAACACTTCACTTGGTCTGAAAACTCTCCAGTAGAGACGATGAGCAGGGGGTGGGTCCAGAAGTGTGGTTGAGCTATTGGATACACCTTTGCACATTGATATACAGGGAAGATTCATTGTCTTCAAGTTACTTGACATTGTGCTGCATTTTAAATCGCCAACGGTCAAAGTATATCCCGTATTATTAGCCAAAACACGCAAAAAAAATCAGTGTTTTTAAATTATGGGGAATTTGCTGATATTTCAATGTGCTTTGACGATTATTTTGGACTCGCTTTGTGAATAGCTTGACAGAAGGGAAACAGCAGGGAGGATGGTGTCTGTCAAGGTGCCTTTTCAGATTTGTTGTACATTGATGCAGTTGTATACTGTGGTTTTTGGTGTGGATTTATTGATCTTTTATCTGCCAGTTTTATATATGAACGTTCCATTGCTATTCTGTTGCCAATACGCATTGGGTCATTCATAGGCCATGTTGATTTCCCCAAAGTTTCATTTCATCACAGTTATGGAATCCAAATGGGGTCTCCTCTGGTAAATGGAACACACCAACTGTCAGGAACTCTGCTCTGCGAGAATAGATTGAGTTGGAGAGAGTTCCTGCAGGTTGGCCTGATGTGCTGCTGTTTTAAATCAACACATCTGAATTTCGTAGCAAAGGAGATTCCCTTTAGCAATTAGGCACTTAGTCCCAAAGCCTCTCGATTGCTCACTAGAAGTTAACATTTTGGGTTTAGGAGAGCAAGGATTTCATCCAAGTTAGATAAACCGATAGAAAAATATTACACAACAAACCACAAAGGCGTAACCCCGAGCTTGATGCAGGGCCGAATGTTTACAGACTAAAGTTACTTCCACCTCAGAATGACAAAACAGCAGTGCTATGAACCACTGGTATATCTTAAAACATTTCCCTTAAATAGGTTGAGGAACATTTTAAGGAATACCACAAATTTTAACCCGAAGATTTTGTTCTGTAATTGTTGAAGCAATTCAGCAGCAATTGGTGTGGCAGAGGTTGCATCACCACACTGCTGATGTCTTAGCTGTGTTTCGCCCTGGGACGTCTTTCCGACGTGAAGACTGCTATACAAGTGCAATCTGTTGTTGTTGCAGTAGAAGCCATCAGGAGGAATCCAATGGATTTCCAGAAAGACTAATGCCTGGCTGCTCTTACTTATCTCCTTGTGTGCCACCCATAGTAACATTGGTGATAGTGTGAAAACTTCGGTTATGGTTGGAAAGAGAAATGTTTTTTAAAAAAATAGAATTTGTTTTTTTGTGCCTTGAATCATCACAAGAATAGCAACCCCACCCTAAGATACTTTAGAGTAACTCCAAACATGCCCAACTGAACCACCCTCCAGTGACTACAAAATAACACCCAATTGACCTGGGTATAATATCATTCTCATGCATACAGTACAATGCAAACTTGCACAAGTAGGATAAAAGTTTCAAAGAGCTTCACAAAGACAAATGGGAAGCTGAGAGGGGAAGAAGGAAAACTTAGAAGCATTCACCAAATCATTGTCAAAGAGTTATTTTTCAGAGGAGTTTGGAAAGCTTGGGAAAAAAGGAACAAGTTAAAGCGATTTGGGGGGAAGACGGGGAGGATGTGTGAGATAGTAGCTTAAAGCTTGGCCACTAACGATAGGCAAAAGGAGTAAGGATCGAGATATAGACCACAATGAGAAGAGTATAGAGGAGATTGCATCATTAGTGAGGACAGGACTCAGTTATACCACAGACACCAGGGTGGCCAGGTATCTTTGGAGTTGTACTGCAGAGAATGCAAGTAAAAGTGAGGCAGACATACCACAACTTAAGTATTGTCACTCGGTGGTTGCATACCACAGACTGCGTCACTGCAAAGAAATGGAAAAAAATCATTCTGGACTAAAACTATATAACATAATAGCAGCAATTCTCAAGAGTTGATTGTATTGATGCCATAAACAATCCACAATTTTAAGGAATTAATCCACATCCCTTGATGAGTACACTTATATAAAATTGTATTGTTTGATAAATGCTTTTATTATTTATTAATAATAACAATGAATATATCTGTACAGTATGTGGGTGCAAAATGCCATGGGGAGAAAATGTGTTATTAATTACGAATAATCAATCAAAAAACTGTCATCAGTAGTTATCAGTAGGCACAGGGTGAAGTTCAGTGGTTGGAAGTAAATTCGGTTTAAATTCTGACCATCCCCCTCTTTCTGCTAATCTCTCATGTCCCCAGCACTCTTTTTGCCTATTAAAAAAGTGCTGCTATTCAGTGCTGCATCATGAAATATTGGCTTAATTTTAATGGAATTACATAAAAATACTCTCCGTACCCCCAACTTGGAGATAATGTTAGGCCTAAATCAACTCCCAAAATTTCAGCGTGTCATTGTTTCAGTTCTGCTTCAAATTATATCAGCTCAACTCAAGGAACAAAGCAGTTGCCACTGAAATTCTTCGAACTGTATTTGAATCCAACCATTCTACCAAAGTCAGGAGGCGAACCTTTGCACTCCCATCAAGTATTTAGTAACAGATGGAACAATATGATGACGTCAATTAAACATCAGAGTTTTAACCCATTATTCTGCAGTGGCAAATATTTGTATTCCTTCAAACCACATAAGTTACATAAAAACATTTATTTGTTTGCATCTAATACAGAATAAATCATTGAACACCAAGGTATGCTTTTATAGGTAAGAGTTTGATCTTGTGTATCTTACTTAGCTGATATAAAATAGATGGTGGCACTAATCTGCAAGTTTATAATTGAGATAAATGCATAACAACTGTGAAAATTGTATATTTTATGAACTAACAGGACACTAAGGCACTCCTGCTCCTGACAAGTAGTTCTTGAGAAATTAGTTATTGTAGATCAGTGAGAAATAGGGTCAGGAAAGTAAGTACAACAGACCTTGTTTTCATGATTGCCCCAAAAATGTATAGATAGATCGGAAAAAACTCTGTAATTTTGCCTAAAAGGAATCAGTCTGGTATTGTGAATAGAGGGTAAAATGAGTGCCAATGCACACTTGCTGTGCCAAGCCAATTCTTAGAAATGTTGTTTGTTTTGCAAAGTGAACAAGGTGAGGAGACGTGTATTGGCAAAGACTGCTCGGTAGCAATTAATGGGTATGCAGCGTGTATTTCTTGAATTCTGATAAGCAGAAAGAATATAATTGAAATACAATATGACACTGCGGGTTGTCTAAATTAGTAAGGCAAAGCACGTTCCTTTATCTTGGGAGGCATTGGTTTCAATCCATTTGCAACCTAAAATGATCTCAAGCTCTTTCAATGTCTACATCCAGTCTTTCATGTTTTGTTTTTTCTTTTTTACATTTAATTTTGAAAACTAAAATTAAGAATTGTATTAATTTTAATGTGGTTGCATACACTTCTTTCATAATGGGTTTGAAAAAGCATCTGGATGAGAAAACTGTACTGTAAATTGTGCAAATGCTGGAAGACGTGTCTTGTCACATAAAGTAGCTCTCCTGTTGGGAAACCCATTGTTCATCGTGTTGATTTACACAAGCTCTGTTCTGAGATAATCTCAGATTGGAGCAAAGCTCTTGCAGTTTGGTGGGGAATAACCATCATATTAGATCAGTTTACCCTTTCAACAAGAAAAAACAAACTGTATTTATATAGCACCTTCACAATGGGTGAGACTAATAAGTTGAAGAGAAAAAGGTTACATTTTCAAGTAATATTTTCCTTCAATACTCCCAGAATAATTATAATAGTCTTTCCTCAAACATATAATTTGCTTTAAAATTGTTTACCTTAGGTCAAACACAGAATGGACAATGGGGCACAAAGAAAAATGAGTGATATAAGTAGTATGAGTTGATTTCTCAATGCTGAGTTATACAGTATTTAGTGACTCTCAGTTGCATAATGTTTTCCAGGATCCTTACCCACTTTGCTCTTGTATCTTGATGAACTCTGTTGTGCAATTACATTGACGTGACTCTTAATCGTTGTGCAGCAGTAAAGAATAATCCTACACTTTTAAGAAGCTTTACTTCCGAGAGCAGTATCATCACATGGTATTCTGGTAGTCATGTTATGGCTGCCAACATATTAAACCACATAAAGAGAGCATTGTTGTCAGTTGTTTTCACTGTGAAAAGTCAAACTGCGTTGCAATGCTGATTGTTATGTCTACTTTATTTTGGAAAAAAAATTATAAAGGATTTCTAAATGACGTTTTAAAAAAAAATCTATACATATATTTTTATGGTTTAAAAAGTGACCAAAATAATGACTTGGATATAGAAGTAGATCATTGTGGTGATCTACTCAGTCTTAACTGACCCCTGAAAGCACCAACATTATTGGTGTGTTTTGTCTGCTCTAAGATTCGCCATTAGTTGGAGCACTAAACAATGGCAGAGTTCTTCTCACCCAGATTTGAGTGACTGTCTCATTCACTGTACTATAGAAACTACAGTAAACTTTGGGCAGTCTCACTATTCTAACAGTGTCACTTGATTGTGTTAATCACTTGTGAATTTCAGCATGATGGATTATTTTTAATCGTCTCCTTTTGTTTCCCCTTATAGCCATTTCAACAAGGATACATGGTGCAAATAAAGAATGAGATGAAGCCCAACAGTAAATGTAACGTAATTTATCCGCCACATCACGGATGCCAGAATGGACTTTATCAATCACATGAAACCAACGGAAGCCAAATGGAGCCAGTAGACCTCTCATTGAACAAAAGGCACTCTCCACATATATCGAGTTCCCCCTCTTCCTCCTACTCGTTGACTATGTTAACCTCAGTGTTGAATCGGTCAGGCTCGCCCAACAAAAGGTCACCTCAGCCTCCCATCAGCATGCCGTTGAGCATTCCCTCGATGCTCAACAATCCACTCATGTCCCATTCACCCATCTCGGGCTCCGGCTTGTACTCAGTTATTCATCCAGTGGTAGTGCAGCCTGTTGTGTACTCACAGCCCATCATGGTTCCCACTATGATGAAGGATGAACTTCAAACTATTCAGTCCGGTGAGTTTAGTTACTCAAAGTACACTGTTATCAATCTAAATTTGAATGTAGTTTTCAGTAGAGTGAGTTTTTTTTATTTTGTGTTGTAACGTACACTGGTATTTTACACTGCAGGCTCTGGAAGGCACATTCCATGTTCTTAAACCATAATTTATTTCAAAGTTTTCCAGTTTCCTGCAAACGGGGAAAACATGAGTAAACTATGTATTAATTACTTTAAAGTTAATGTATGGAATATAAAGTTAAGATTCTAAAAAATGAAATGTGCCAACATTGTATTTATTTTGTTTATTTTATCTATTATTAAATGTTCTTCCCTCTACAGTTCCCCCTATGCCACATAACATTTCAGGCGGGCGACCTATTCATAGGCAACATCCAATGGCAGTGTGCAGCCAGTCACGAAGAAGTAAGTAAGAGTGAATTGCCTGTTGTTGGTTCCTCCTTCTCACCTGCCCTTCTCCCCTCAACATGTTAGCGAATCTGTGAAACCTGATTACCCTCCTGATATATATTAGTAAACTGAGAGGGAATTGTGCCTGGGAAACCAACCCTCGCCCTTTGCATTGTTGTGCATTATTCTATGCAGCAGCAGCACAAACATCTTTAATACCACTTGTATTAATACATGAAGTCTGTTGTTTATAACAAGTTCAATGTTGATCACTGTCATGTTATGGTGAACCATTAGTATTGATCAATGTTTTAAATAGCCCAGTACTTTCAGACTACTTGTTCTGGCTTCATTCCAAAGACTAGAAGCTCACGTCCAATTGCCCACACATTTTTATTTCATTAATATTCTTAAAGCAAATGTTCTAACTTCTACACAGCAAAAGTACCCTGAAAATTCACCTCATCGTGAGACTAAACTGGAAGGCTCCTCTGTAAACTTGTGACTGAAACTATACTTATTATGGGCTTGTGGTTAGCATTATCGGAGGAAAAATCTCTTCATTACAACAATATGCTGTAACAGACATGTGACTGTAGCATAACAATTATATATCCCGCAAATAAATAAAAATGACAATGGTATTGCGTTATACTTATCCCACGTATAATGGTATATATTGCAAAAGCAATGTCATTTTAAGATAGTGCTAAAACATTCTTAAAATTTGAAAATAATAATGTTCAGTGGTTAGCACTAAACTTGGTGAGACCTGTTCCTCATGGGTAAAATGATTTGAAGTATCACCTTTCAATTAATAGCAACTTTCATTTTCTGTTATCAGGCTCGTTGATTAAATCTGGTGAGCCACATCCGATGCTGTTAAAACCAGTAAAGTGTGAGCAAAACATGGACCCGTCAGACCATTGCACAAATGAAGTGTCCTCATCAGTTATCAGCTCCATAAAGTCTATAATGGCACATGAGTAAGTACCTTACACGGCGGTTTAAAAAAAAATCATAAGTACATAGATAGATAGATTCAATGTGTTACCAGAACAAGTGGTCGATGGGCCCCTTGTATCTGGCATTGTCCTCGGCTCCTAGATTGTGGTTTATTGGAAAGATAATCAAATTAGCTTGTCAGTTAATGAGTTGTTGTGGCATAGCGCACAAATGTGTGTTATCAAAATAGGTCCCAATAAGTTTTTAAAGTGCACTGGAACATTGTCAAGCCTCGTGCTGGCATTGAACCAATCAAAATGTACGTTTCACAACTGACATGAAGTTAGGAAGGTGAAGAATTCTCTTTGAACAGGAGAGTTAAGGTAATGTAAATAAAGTTGTCAAGATTGTAAAATTGATGGAGTTGGATGGTGACTATAGTAAGTGCTTTGGATACTTACTATAGTTACAAATTGCGCAAGTTACAAATTTAGAAGTTAGTTGAAATTTGATGGAATGTTTTTGCTCAAAAGTGAAAGACCTACGGACTATGTTACCAGCGCAGATCATTTTACCACAGTTCTAACCCCTTTAATCCAAACATGTGAGAGTTGTCCTGGCCAATAAATCTCCCCATATAAAATTAGTCGTTCACTTATCTCATGTCTGTTTGGGGTTTGGTGTCACTCCTGTACCCTTTGGAGTTGGGTGTCAAGTGGAAATGAACTGAATGCCAGCAGATATTGCTACCAAGGAGAAGCGTATGACTTCAGGGTTGGGGGGAGAACCTGTTGGAGGAGACACGATGAAGATGTTGGGAATGGACAGCACATCATTGTGTAACGGGAAGAAAATCACAAGGTGTAAACTTCATTTTTATATCTGTCACAACTTGAAAACATCAGGCATACCCAACTCTGTCTGTAGTCTTTAACCATCATTTCTGAGATCATTTAATGTACTACATCTGGGTGTGTTGCCTACGGATAGAATCCACACTTGAGGCATGTCTTAGTGGCCCTCTATCGTCGTCCTTGTAGAAATTTATTTATTGATCTAATAGGTCAGTTTAAGATCTCACTTACCAGCAATACACTGTTATCAGTCTGGACCCGATTTACACAGAATACTGTACAGCCCTAGACCATAAATTATGTTATCTTAAATTGATAATAATTAATTATCAATTTAAGATAACATCATTTATAGTTTAAGAAATTGTTTGCATTTTGTTTCTCCAACTATAGTTTCTTCATCCTAATCATTACAATGCAATACCTGACTGTTTTGTGATAAGAAATGGTGTCAGTTGCTATTATAAGATATTTATTACTTCCAATGAATTTGAGAACAGCCACTGATTTGTTTGTAGTCCCTTCATGCCTGTTATCATGATGAACCTTGCTCTATATTTACACTTTGCTCCCCTACGTTATCAGTACGGTTGCACATCATTAAATAATAATGTAAAGAGGTAAGCTCTGCCCGTTCTTCAATAGAAAGTCTTTTTACTTTGAATTAGATATAATTTATTGCCCATTGACTTACATACTTGGACTAGAGTACATTTGTGCATCTTTCGCTGGTAATTTCTCTGCAATTATTACAATTATCAGAGCATGCCTGATAAATTCTCTGTTTAGATAAGATAGAATAATGGACTGCAAGACAATAATCTCAAGGAATTCAGATACAGAATCAACCAGGAGTTTGAAGCTGAATTGTCATGTGAGCACCAAGCTGAGAACAAAGCTTTACGTTCACACCCATATATCATTTATTTTCATATAAACTCAATGAGTTTATTCCATTATGAAGTTTTTATTTACTGAGAGAGGCTCATAGCAGTTACTTTTGCCCAGTGCATTCTGACTAAGAAGGTGACCACAAAATAGCTCTTTGGGATGTACCAAGGCAGCAGGACAAGAGGTCATATGTTCAGAGTTGCTCAGGGCAATTTTATGAGAAACAGCAGGAAATATTACTTTAAACAGAGGGTAATCAACAGCTGTAACCGGTTACCAAGTGGATGAAGCCAGGATATTGGAGTCATTTAACAAACAGCTTGATGCTGTAATGAAAAGGTAGTGAGTTGTTCTGCTATTTAAGCCTCTGTTGTGATTAAGGTGCAGGTGAAATATGATGATGTGCATAATGGGACATTAATGATTGATTATAATACAATGGGGTCAAAATATGGTGGTGCATAATAGCATTCACTAGTAGCATCTCATTCACTTACAGGATGTATAGTAACCAGCCATGTCTGTTCCCTACCACTTAGTTCCAACACCTCAGAACAAGGATCCCACAAGTTGTCCATGTTGTACAGATGGTTGATATTCTGTTAACGAGTTTCTTAGTGAACCTTTTTGTGAACTAGAACTCAATGTAAATCTGCCTTACCGTCACATCTTCAACCCCAATTAGGTAGTAATCCCAATAAGAAATAAGGCAGGCACTTTTTTAAATATAATTTTAAATATTCATAGAATATTAATAAAGGTGAGTTTGATTTTTGGTAAGTTACCAAAATGCTGATTTTCCTCAATTAAAATAGAGAAACCAGCAAACAAAGATCACTAGTCAGCATTGGTGAATTTAATCGATACCTTGGGAACATTTATAGGATGTTTATTCTGATCTCCAGGACCAGTTAAATCAGCTTATCATGTTTCCATAAAACATTGCAGCCCCAGAGAGCACAAAACAAGTCCTTTATTTCACCTGAACCAGTGAAACAGGTTAAATATTGCACGTGACCCTAAGTTTGATTCTGTTTGTTATTATCTCTCTGAATAATTATCTGTTCTTTCATAATTTTTCAGCCAGCCACAAATGACTATAATGAGCAACTTGCTTAATAGAACAGATACTTAAAGGACATTGAGGTTTGACTTGTGCAATAAATTCTGATTATGGTGCTTGGAGAATCTGCTTTGCCCATAAAATATACAGTAAATTCACTTTACAGTATATTTTGTGAAGCACTTTGAGACGTCTCAATTATGTGACATGGCGCTACATCAAATTATTATTATAATCCAGAAATTCATCTACATGCCAGTGTTTAATAACTGGTAAGAATGACAAATGGCTTTAAGGTAGAAACTGTTCTCTGTAATTTATTTTGGTCAACCAGGTATCTGACACATGAGAAAACCTATCACCGTGTTTAAAGAGTATCCAAACCAAACAAAGTTCCATGTATCCCACCTATACATAAAAATTCCAAAGATATTTATTGGAATGGAATGCTACTCTCTCCCTCGAGAATTTACTTAATTCTGGAAAATATTAGGCACAGGTTGGTCGGAGCTAAGGCTTAAAGGTCCTAGATTGTCGTTGACTTAAGGGTCCTAGAGCATCCTTCAAGGCCGGTCTCAAGACTCTTCTCTTCGACCGTGCCTTTGGTCTCCCTCCCACCTCTCTGCCTTCCCTCACCCCTACACCACCCCTCCTCCATGCTCGGGCCCAGACAGCTGACTGTTCAGCACTTTGGGACGTCCTCCCGATGTGAAAAGCGCTCTATAAATGTAATTTTGTTGTTGTTGTTGGGGTACTGTTGGAGTCCAACCAGCTAAAACCACATAGCTTGAAAGCACTGTTTGACATGCTTTCCCGCTGCTTGTCCAGCTAAGACCACCCTACCAGTTACGGCTTTGGCTAGCAGCGTGAACAGGAGATGAGTGTGAAGAGTCCCAGCCCCTAGTGACTGATCTGTCCTTCCACGTTCTGCCGATGAGCCAAGCTGGCTGAGCAATGCCCTGGAATACTGCAGACTCACCTTACTCAGAAACTGGACTACTGAGACCGCCACAGAGAGCTGACATTCCGTTGCCAAGCATGTCACCTTGGAGCCAGTTCAGCTCCGAGGAGACCCCTCGTTCCCCCCCGCCCCTCCTAGTCAATAGTTGGATAGTTGATATCTGGTAAGCACATTTTGAAGAAGAGGCTTGTTAAGGAAGAAACTGTTCCATTGTATAAACGTGTTTATTTTACTGTACGTGTCATATAGCAAGTAATTTAATCAACATAGTGAATCATTGTACATACAAAAGAGTCCCTTCTGTCAAAATAAATTACACACAATGAGACTTGACACCCTCGTAATACAAATATTTTATCAGTATGAATGATATTTCCATAATGTGAAATGTGTCATAGTGTGCCATGTATACACAAAAGTGCTCTTCAGGCAATTAAGTGTCCTTTAAATAAAAACTGCAATTTTTATTCTATAATAATGCAATATAATCCTTTATATTAATATAGCGCCTTATCACGTCTTCAAGGCATCTCAAAGCGCTTCACAGAATATACTGTCAAATGAATTGACTGTATATTTTGTTGGCGAAACACAGCAGCCAGTTGCACACAGCAGTGTTCCACAAACAGTCGTGGATTGAAGTGACCAATTTATTTTTTTTAATTTATTGTTTTGAAGGAATTATTACCCCCGGAAAAGCGATCTGCCAAATCGACAAACAACCAGGTTCCTAATTACTACTAGGTAAACAGAGGCGTGTGGAGTAAGGAAACTTGCTCAACATTTCGCCCTGCTGGGAATCAAACCCAGGTCTCTCGCTTGCGAGGCAAGTGCTCTAACCACTGAGCTCTAGGACTCCACATATTAATGTCTGGTCACTCTTTCAAAGTGTATAGAAAATTAAATTAAAAATTTCTAATGGATTTACTCAGAACATTTCTGTCATCATCTGTAAGTAAGAAGAGTCATTGTGTAGCTAAACATTTTGAATATATTAAAACTTTAGGCTAAAGAAAAGCACTTTGTGAATTTATTTGTGAGGTTGTGACTCAGTTGCAGACATCCTGTGGGTGTGACCTGCAGCTGAAATTACTTTTAGGTGTTGACATCAGTGGTGGAACGTTGCCACACCCAAGAGCCAGTATCAGAACAACAGGAAACCCTTAATAACCTATTGACGGAGTGGCTCCAGCATTAAATCTCCTGAATTCTGAACGTTTAGGGTGATAAACAGCATATAAAATGTATGACAGTTATTTTGTAATAAATGTT